TGATCGAAGACAGTGTCATTTGACATCAAAATGTGCAAGTGTCTGTCGATTAGAGAGAAGCAGCCAGGCGTAACTTAGAGCTCCGTAGCCAAATCACTTGGAATTTCACGAAAAACCGTCTACTATGTTTAAACCCGTCGAACGACTATCGGGGAATTTTGAACGCTGGAGCATCTTAGGACCTGAAACATAACCCACTACTTTGCAACCACTTTCAGCATTATGTTCCCGGTATTCTCAATGATCTGTGTTGGAACCCGGAAATAATTCTTACATCTCCATACCTGTGCATTACACTAGTGTATTTTTTGATATAAAGCAATGAAATAGATGTCATACCGAAATCACGGAGGGCCCAAACTGATGTTCGATGCTTTTGTTTTCTGTTCAAAAGAGATCAACGTACTCAAAACTTTGATCCTCTTTCAGGGATTAAAAAAGTTTCATATACAATCGCGTTTGACGTCGATAAAACGATTGTAGCACAAACTGGAGTGAAGAAAGAAACGTTGCTCGTGGGAAGAATCCATAAAGGATTAAAGTTGTGAAGGAAAACTAACGCGAGCTGGGAGGAGGGCGTCCGACCGTGACTCATAATGTCTGAAACCAGCAAAAATCATTAATTTTCGGGTCGCCATTCGGACGGTGTAAGTTGTCCGCCATGTGCCTTCTTCTCCTGCGGACCGGGAACCACAACACAGCGGACGACATTCCTGGAACATGATAAAACTTTCTAGCGGTGGTTGAGCGAGTTACAGTTTGACGCAACGCATAAATGTAGCTGTTATGTAAGTGCCTCATTGGGGATGCAAAATCTCCACAATGGTCATTTTCTGTGACACACACACACACACGCATAATCTCACCATCTTCGCGTAAGAAATTCCATCCGTAGTAGAACATAACTTGTTGAAATCGATTGATACTTTTTGAAAAGAATGAAAACGCGGTAATCTGTCGTTCGTTTCACTCATGTGACTCGATCGACGCACGTGGAGCAAGCCTCGTAAATTTATTCACTCCACAACCGTTTCAACTAATCTTGGCAGCATGGCATTAGTCCCGGATCTCTGATCACTGATCAAATGTGTTGGAGTTAAGCATCATCATCACTGAACTAAATCATCTCGTTTCAAGCGTGTTCAAAGGACAAATCAGGCAGTAGTTCGGAGATCTCAGACTACTTGCTAAATTTATTGATTTTTCTCAAGCACCTTTTGTGCAACCCACGACAGTCG